TAGTGTCGTATTGATTTCAGGAATCATATTAACCAGGGAGGGGGAGTTTTTATATTTGAAGGAAAGAGGTCAGAAATTTGGAGTTGCAGATCGTTTCATTTTCTTCGTACTCTTTCATAGACTGGTTAATCGAACTCAGTTTTTTCTAGGTAACGGTCGGTAAATGTATTTCGAAACACTGGATGTAAATCGTTTCTGACAAGATGCATATGGGAGATATATCCTGTAAGGCATTGGAAATTCCTAACTGGTGTGATTCTAAATGCACGTGTAGCAATGCTAAGTGCTGTGTTTTTTGAATGATTTGAAGTTGCTTGGTAACATGTTTTTACTGACGTTAACGATATCTCTTGTTTATAAATAGATGCTTGTAAACAATTTTGAATTATTCATATATTCTTACCCTATGCAAATAAAACCAGATCGTCGGCATAAAGTTTTCGTTTAACGGGGAGCTGTGATCCCACGCTTTGAGTTACCCCGATGTCTCGTAACTATCGATTGCTCAGTTGTGATTCTTTTTATCGTATTTAATTCTTTGATTACATTTGCCTTTTGTAGAAGACTTTTTTGTAGAAGAAGATTTTTCCACTACAAGAATAACACAATATACCTTTGAAAATTGACAGAGGACAAAGATCTATGATCGACTATATTTCTTCAAATATAGAGCTTCCTTCCAAATTTGGGACTCTAGCGGTATAGGCAAGGGCACTAACAGCAGCAGCGATAGGAAGCGATCATAAACTAGTATTATGCAATATTCGAATCGAAACACATATATACACAATAACAAAGTTTTTGAATACACCGCATATACAAACATACACATACATAAAGCGGAATTATACCGTTACTTCTAGGCGAACATTCAACGTGAGCACCCAACGGCGAGTCCCAAATGATATGAAATAGTTAGGATATTGTTAAAGTTTGATTTCAAGCATTTTGGTTCAACTTGCTCTCACTGTCCAGTAAAAGCTGAAAATGGTTGGTCAAAGCTTTTTGTTCATAACTTTGCCCTCTTTTGATCTCTTGCTGCTCCTTCTATTGGCTTAAGAAATACAAGGCTTTATCGAGGAAAATCGGGGCTTTAAGCAGGCTAGACTATTTTTGGAATACCAACATTTTCCATGTAATCCGATACTATCCTTGCGCTTTGTAGTCTAGCATGATCCTGCATTAGCAGGAATTTGTTCCCAATAAATCCAGCACAGGGCATCACATGATGTAAGATTTCCGTTATGTACCTTTCTGCTATTAACGCACCTTTGTCGATCACCACGATTTTATGCGCATAAAAAATCCCTGTCCAAAACATTACTGAACCATCACCAAAAGCAACCCGCGGTGCCCGAGTGCAACCAGCGAAATGTTCTTGAGCCCGTCTATATACCATACTGCGTCCATATTTACCATAAATGGTTATTCTACACTCATCTATAAACAATACTTTTTTCCAATCGTCTGCTGTCCAATTAATGTGCTCACAGACCAAATCGAGTTTTCGTCTTTTGTGAGCTGGGGAAAGTAATAGCTCCATTGCGGACTTTTAGCTATCAAACCTTGTTCCCTTAATCTTCGCCGAACAGTAGAAAGGCCGATTGCTGGCCCTTGAGCTTGTTGTCAATAGCCGTAGAGTATTTTAGTAGTTTGTGTCCGAATCCATAATGGAGCAAGAAGGACGACGATCTTCCTTATCGGTTTTTTTTCTTTTTGGACCCGTACCAGGTCGACGTTGGTGAGATCCTATCACAAGAAATGATTGCTGAGTCCTTTGTATAGTCGAACGACAAACTTTTAATTGCCTTCCAACTTGTCTTTGACTTAATCTACTTCCCAGAAATGTTACAATTTCAACCGATTTTTGAAAATTCTCCATCGTTACTAACTCAAGACTACTTTACATTAAGTCGGCTACTGTAATACTGAAATTCATTTGAAACTCATTAGAACCCTTTACAATGTCATACATTTTTCATAACAATCGCTTCCTCAAAAACTGATCAAGTCGTAAACAAGCTTTTCTCAAAAATTTTGTTTTATAGGTTCTACGAAATCCCCTCAATCCTGTTACAGGTTCGATTTGAACAATCCAGTTCAGAGGTCGAACCAAAAAATGAATGCCTAATTTTGTAACAATAAATCATAATTTCGAAAATACTTCAAATATTATGGGGGGGGGGGCGTTTTTGTATTTCTCCAATTTTGATTTTTGTCCAATTTGCCAAGGAACTGAGTAATTAAGAAGTGTTTCCTGCAATAAGCTGATAAAATTTGAATTTTCTGTTCATATTATGCTTATTTCAATGCGTCCCCTTACTTAGACCGCCTTTTAAATGGCCACCAGATCCAGGCCTTTTTTCCAATTTTTAAAACAATAATAATTTAAAAATTTCAGTAATATAAAACAAATTTTAGAAAGCGATTGTCGAGTTGCAGGTGCACAGGTGAAGCGGTGTGCGCGGTGTCGTATAAAAACGAGTTTTGGCTCAATTCGTAAAATCAAACTGAAAAATTTGTTGGTATATTGCACCACCAACTTTTTTGTTTTTATATTGTTCTTTGAACATTCTATACATTTTCCACAAATATAAGTCTGGACTAAGATACTATTTTTCTGTTTTAGCTCTTGAATAGTGGCTAGATTGTTCCGGAAAGCTTTTTATGTGTTGTCTTACGATATCCCTGTCAACGTCCACAAAAGCATGAGGCCTGTTTCCATGTTTTCCCCTTTAATCTTTGGAATAGTGGTACCATTTTTAAGTTTAGATTGCAATGTTTGAATACGGCGCGATGTAATACAAAAAGCATCTAACAAAGTTTTCTTGCAAAATTCTTTGTGGTGTATTTTATAGGAAAAGGAAGCAAGTTTTTTGAAATTACTGCCGGTCTTACCTTTTCTTCGACGACCAGGTTCTTTTACAACAATGCACTTTAAAAGATAGAGTGACTGATCATTATAATGTAGTTGGTGAAAATCAATAAATAAGTGCATTTTTCTGTTTTGAACAGGAGATGTACGTTATGGAAAATTGACGATTTTGTGATTTACTAAAATAAATTAGATATATATGTATTATATGTATAATAAGTGACATAGAAATCCGAATACCCAATATAAATTATTTTATTTCAATACTATTTGGTATACAGTATTGGTGTATAGTTAACCTAGTTAACCTAATAAGAAATCTGTACGATAAAAACTAAGCCAAAGTTAAAATACACAGAATATATTCAGATGCGTTCAAAACAAAGAAAGGGACTAGACAGGGCTTAATATTATCACCATTATTATATAACATATTCTGAATATATAATGAGAAAATATTAGACGAATAGGATGGAGGATCAGTATAGCAGGCAGAAAAATCAGCAACATAGCAGCGAATGAATTCGAAATGATTACCATCACCAAACGACTAAGCTGGATAAGCGAAGAATTATATATATTAACAGAGGGAAAATAAAAATAATGATGGTAGACAGAGCAAATAATCATTTACTGCACATACACCAAGCGGTGAATTTCGAAGTGGTAGACAGATTTGAATTCTAGTGTTCCTAATAACCAACAATGGTGATTGCTCCTTGCAAATTAAGCGTAGTTCTTTGGGAGTAGTGATACAATTCGTAAGTATAGATTGCAATGTTTTAATACGGCGCAATGTAATGCAAACAGTTTCTAACAAAGTTTTATTGCAGAATTCTTCGTCATGTATTTTATAGGAACAGGAAGCAAGTTTTTTCGAATTGCTGCCTTTTCTTAGATGACCATCATCTTTTACAACAATGCCCTTCAAAAGATAGACTGACTGATCATCATAATGTAGTTGGTGATAATGAAATTAATGAAATAATTAAATAACTGCATTTTTCTGTTAAACCGATGATTGAATAACCCAATTTGGGTTATTAAATCAACGGTTAAACTAAGAAATGGCATCGATGTTTTGAACAGGAGATAATAACCCACGATCCCAAAAAGTACCATGAAAATACAACAGATCTTTATTCCACTCACCCATGTTGGTCGCTGTGTTGCAGAAATAATCTTGTTTCTTTATGAAACATACTCTTCTCCTGCGTCTCTTAAGCCTTTTCGCATAATACATTTTCGCTTAGGTACATTTACTTTTCTTTTTCTCAATTTATTAACCCTTTTCAGGGCACTAGGAGATAAAACTGCGATTGGGATGTGATCGTTAAGGACAAAGATGGTTTTTCCTTTTTATGACAATTGTAAAAATGTATTGCTACGCCATCTAACTAGTCACGCAATAATTGCATGGACCGTCGGACTTCCAACGGCACATAGATTATTATTTTACGTAAATCCACCATACTGTCAAAATGTAACATAAATCGTTTTTCTTTTCCGGTGCACGCATAGACATATAATATAAAATAGACTGATACGTTGCAATACCAGCCTGTTCCCCCAGTGCGACAGAGAAAACTGGCGGAAAGCAGTCCCTACATATATTTCTAATTTGCCAGTTTTGTCTACCACGTGACCTAAATGACCAATGAGAAGGTCACGTGGTCGATAAACCCGTCCCATTAGACAGAAATGTAGGAACTGCCTTGTGTCATTTGCCCTGTATTGCAGCAGTCAGACTGTCTTGTATTATATGTCTATGGGTGCACGCTTCAATTAATGTCAGAATATACAGTTTTGTTCGTAGATAGATGTCACCAAATTCATGTACTTTTGTAAGAGCAATACATCTGATAACCCACTTTTCCGACCGACTAGATTTCACGCAAACATATTTATTTTGATTTCCTTCCTCAACAAGGAATTGATAAAGTCAACAGATTACTTATTATTTTTATACAAGATTTTTAAGTTTTCTGTTTATTAAGAATAGACAAAACAGTGCTCGAAAATACAAAAAATCAACATTTCACAAAAACTGTAATATGTAAACAAACCTATTTAGTTTTCATTTCTCTTTCAATACTACGTTATTTAAAAATAACTTCATTTTCAGGATGGCAATATACGAAGCAAGCACAGCGTTGGGTACCGTAATAGGAACTGCAATGAGCTCTTATATATTTTATGCAACAAATTATACGACAGTCTTTGCCTTAGCAGCCGGTAGCACCCTATTAGGAATTCTTTATACGGTTTTCTTTATACCGGAGTCCTTACAAGAGGCTGATAAGGTAAATATGAACAGCAGACGTAATATTCCACAGAAATCTCGGGGAACCTTCCGTCGACGTTTGTTTATTGTTTATATTTGCTATTTCCTTAAAAAATATATTTTACGTTATGGAAAATGCACGATTTTGTAATTTACTATAATAGATTAGATATATATGTATTATACGTATCCTTAATGATATAGAAATTCGAAAACCCATTATAAATTATTTTATTTTAATAATAATTGGTATACAGTATTGGTGTATAGTTAACCTAGTTAACTCAATAAGAAATCTATAAAATAAAAACTCAGCCAAAATTAAAATACACAGAATATATTAAGATGAGTTTAAAACAAAAAAAAAGGAACTGGACTGGGCTGTATACTATCAGCGTTATTATACAACATATTCTGAATATATAATGAAAACAGTATTAGACGAATGGGATGGAGAAATCACTATAGAAGGCAGAAAATCAGCAACATGCCATATGCAAAGGACACACTATACTAGCAGTAAATGAAGTCGAAGTTATTACCATTACAAAATGACTAAGCCGGATAAGCGAAGAATTCGGACTGCAGATCAACATAGGAAAAACAAAAATAATGATCTTCGACAAAGCAAATAATAATTTATTGCACATACACCAAGCGGGAATTCCGAAGTGGTAGACAGATTTGGATTCTTGGGCTTCCTGATAACCAACAACGGTGATTACTCCTCAGAAATTAGGCGTAATCTAGGAATGGCCCGAACTGCAACAGCTAAATTGATTAAAGTATGAAAGGGCCGAACAATAACTAGGAATACCAAGCTAAGGTTGGTAAATGCTTATATTTTCCCATTGCTACATACGCAGCTGAAACATAGACTCTCAAAAAAATCGATAGGAGTAAGATCGAAGCCTTCTAAATATGGGTCTATAGAAGAATTCTATATAAGAATATAAAACCATCCTTTGTGGAAGAGCTTAATATAAAAGACGGCTATTAGAAAAAGTAAATCGGGTATACCTAAATTACTTATGCCACACAGCTAAAAAAAACGGGGACCGTTCTTTACTACAAATGAGAATATTTGTAGTAAAGAAAAGGTAGAAGGCCGAAGACCAGGACAAAGATCTCCAACACGTTGCGCAGACCAAATAAAGACTCTGATGGGAAAATTCCTACATGAAGCCGTCTACATGGCACGGGATCGCAGCCAATGGAGACAGCAAGCTCATAAAATTAAGAATGTCAATAACAAGGGCTCAAGAATGATGAGAATCCAATAAAAACAATAAATTATTAGGATTTAGGCCATATTAGTTTAGGTTATCGTTTTTTATTAATTCTTTTCTTCTAAATTTAGCAGAAAATAAAAATTTTAACTTTTGGAGTCCCTGGAACTCCAAATTGTTGGTTATAATTTTTTATTGCTCTTTTAAGGTGCAAAAATGATGTTTTTTATTATTTTTAATATGAGCACAATAGTGAATGAAACAACAGCAAAAAGCTTTAATTTGAGCTATGCTTCATTAATTTTGACACAATAGTTTATGCAAAATTAACAATTAAAAGTCCAAAAATGTGAATTTTTTGCCATTTATAATTTTTAAAATAACTTTTGTAAAAAATATTTTTTTATGCAAATAATCATTATATTGCAGCTTTTTTAATTACACTAAATCAAATTAGACGTCCTAAGATCCGATCGGTCTTACTTTTTATGACACGTGCAATTGTCTATAAAAATTCTTAAATATTTATAAATTTTACATGGCCAGAACTTTTTTTCTAAAAAAATATAATGATCTAATTTTAAACTGATTGTCTTGTTGGTTAGTTTTATTTTTATGTAGAAAAAAAATTAATTGCTTAAACAATTTGTCAACTCCTTATTTATTGCTTTGAAGTAGGAGTCGCTTTTGCGTTATACATTAATTTAGCTACAGCGCTCCCTATACACTAATACTTTAAACACCATGTGTATTAAAGCAGATACACAAAAAAACTTGAACATGATCGCATGCGTATATATAATCTGATACACACTCATATCTAATGTTTGAAGATCTGTGTTCATCAGCTAAGCGCGGTAACTGTGCGTTTATATCTTTCAGTAGATTGGGCTGTGGCGATTACATTTTAAGTTCAGTTCCAAATTTGGGGAAATAATTTGGCAACAGTGGTACATAATATCAATGACCTCGACAAGTGTATGTTTTGTCTTGTTTGAATCGACAGCGACAGCAGCACCGAACAACCCGAAGGTGCACTCGACTCGGCGGTAATTGTTCGCGCATCTGGTTTGCGCAGGTCAGCGGCCATATTTTAAGTTCACAGTCACGTCGTTGACAGATCATTTTGTGTTTGTTGTTAGGTTAGATCACTATTTGTTTCGCTAATAATTTGATTTTGTGCAATCGTAAACACTGACATTGTACACTAAAAAAATGGCGCAAGTTCACCGAATTTGTCTGACAGCTACCAATGTAAATTTATCGGAGTGCACCTTCGGGTTGTTCGGTGACAGCAGTAATTTATTGCAGTCTGAAGAGTAGTTATCGTGCGCTTATCTCAATAGTTATGTCTAAAGGTCGATTCAAACACATCAGTCTCGGCGCCGAACCGGTCCTGTTTGGTCACAGAACTATTAATTATCTGACAGCTGGGAAACTGTTCGTCAACTGATGAATGTGAATGCCGGCGGCATATTTCTATTAAAGAATATTTTGTATGACGGATTGTTCGGTTCGGCGCCGGGACTGTGACGAGACGTGACTGATGTGTTTGTATCAACCTTTAGAGTACACCCATATTGGAACCGTATTTTTCCCCATCCGATGGGGTCCGATGTAAGCCGATTTTTCAATCCGACGTGAGTGCCTATATTCGTTCAGTTAACGCCCGACCACCGACAATGAGTTCCGATGAACATTTAATGTGTTGGCTGTTGTTAGAAAACAACATTCTTAAAAAAAGTAGAAGAAAACTTAGATGGATACATAAACTTAATAAAGACAGGTCTTCAGGAAAATTTAATAAAACTTTTCAAACTTTACGTAACTATCCTGATAAATTCAAAGAGTACCACCGCATGAGTATAGAAATCTAACTATACAATCTAAGCCAATCTAACTTCAGAGAATGCATCAGCCCCGAAGAAAAACTTAGGGTACACCTATATTGGAAAAGTATTTCTTAACCCGATCAATCAAAATTTCTCTGTCCATTTCTGCCATTTGGCTCTCGTTGGAACGAAAAATCGGAATGAAACCAAACAAGTTTCATAGGAGAAGCTACTCAGTCCGACGTTGGCTGATATCGGTCGTTATCTGATCGAGGATCCCACTGCAGTATAGGCACTATGCATTAATACCTTGAGTTTGTTTTCAAACCGACGTCGTCCGAATTCGGATCGGGAGAAATATAGTTCCAATGTAGGTGTACACTAACATAAAAAATAAAGTGCTTTCAGCAGGGGAAGTCAAAATATTAGCTGAACATTTAAGTGAATCCGAACACGATAAAGATGATAAACCGTCTCAAAGTATAGAACAGCTAACACATAGTCAGCAAATCCTATCTCAGAATGAGAAGGGTGAGTCTCCAGCGCCCAGCGTCCAGCCTGGGGTGTAGAGCTAGTTCGCGTCCGTAGTAGAATACTACACGTGCACCCTGGGTAACGCTAAATGAACTAGCAAATACTGGCGGTCAGATAATCTTAGGATCTCCTGATCAGAGACACATTGCAAACAATGCCATGAAACGTTATCAGAAGGCAAATTAACAATAATACAAATGCCCCTTCTCAGGACCCAACAACTAGAAAACTCGGCCCTACGATCCGAATTTGTTACTTAAATGTAGAAAGCATATGCTATTCAAAGAGCCAGTACTTATCAAAATTTCTAAAAGATAACGACATCGACCTGGTTGCTCTACAGGAAACACACTGCAAAACGGAAGAACAACTTCAAAAAATGCGGGAAAATACCTGGCTTCGAACTACTGGGTGCTACGTATCATCGATCATAGCAACACACGTTAAACAAAATATAGAAAACGCCGTTCTTGTTTTCACATGTACTGATGATGAAATTCACAATGTTGTAGAAAAAATTGGAAGCATCACCGTTACTAACACCTACAAACCACCGGCTATATCCTGGCCAGCTCAAGTCATTGACACACATCCGCACCCGTCAATATATGTGGGGGACTACAACAGTCACCATAAACAGTGGAAATATAAACAATGCAACAGCAATGGAAATGCACTAGTAAAATGGGCGGAGAACGAACATCTATCACTAAAGTTTGACGACAAAGACCGACCTACATTCATGTCAGCAGCATGGAAGAAGGAGTACAATCCTGACCTATGTTTTGTCTCTACTAATAAAAACGGACAACCTCTATCAGTCTCTCGAAAAGTAATGGACGACTTCTCACACAGCCAACACCGCCCAGTGATCTTAGAGGCGGGAACCCAGATTCCTATAATCACATCCATCTCTCGCCCACGTTGGAATCTAAAGAAAGCCATTTGAGGTAGCTTTTCTGCGGAACTGGACAAGACTCTAGGCTGGATAATCCCTACCTAAGAAATTACAAAAGATTCGTTGGAGCTGTAATAAGCACGGCCAAAAATCATATACCAAGAGGCTACCGAAGAGAATACATTCCTGGTTGGTCCCATAACAGCGAAGAACTGTACCAAAATTTCCTTGAAAGCGGCTATCAAGAATTAGCCGATGAACTGCTCCATAGCCTAGATGAACGAAAACTGTAGAAAGTCTTAATTTTCGAATAATAATAAAGAGCGGTCTTCTCACCGCTCGAATAATCAACAGCATGCTAGCCGACCGAACGATTCAAGAAGGCATGACCGCCGATAAAAACAGCACAGATTGCAGTGGAAAATGAGTTCAACTTAACGACCACTTGGACTCGAGAATGGATGGAACAACAAAATAGCAGCTAACCCTGCATCACACAAAAACCATCAGGTTTTGACTTACCACGCAACACATGGACTATGTTGAACCGAATTAGAACCAAACATGGCAGATGCGGTTATATGATGCACAAATGGGGTAAACAACCATCCCCACTCTATGACTGCGGACAACCACAAACCATCTGTCACATCACAAATCTGTGTCCCACAAGATCCTATCAAGGCAGGTCAGAGGATTTCCTAATGGCGACTCCAGAGTCGATAGAATATATAAGTAAGTTAGATGTCCGTTTGTAAACATATATGTATTATGTTTTATACAAATTATGTGTAAATTTAAATGTAAATGTCTCAAGTGCCATACGATAAATAAATAAATCCAGCGCCCAAAAACTGGGGCCACTCGGCTAAGGGTAGAAGGCCCCTACAGAAATCTTCCCGGTCCACCAGGATTGGAGGTTGTGGCGATGGACCTGCTCCCCATCACATGAAAAAAAAAACTGTATTGCAAAAAATCCTAGAAAGAAAAGGCCCGACGGTCTTAACGGAAAACGACCCAGCTTACGAAAAAGGTTAATGAGTTTTGAAACATGGAATGTGCAAGGTATTCGGACTAAGCTTGATGAGGTGTTGAAAGAAATTAGAGATTTCAATTAGATGTAATAGTCCTTACAGAAACAAAAAAGAAAGGGAAAGGGACAGACGAGTTTAAAGATTTTGTTCATTTCTATAGTGGAGTAGGAAAAGACAGAAGAGCGGCAGCAGGTGTAAGTATATTGATAAAGAAAAGGCTGTCACGAAATATTAAGAACTGGGAACAAATAAACGAAAGGCTAATAAAAGTTGAGATGAAGCTAAAAGGACGTGACATAGTGGTAGTGGGCGCATATGCATCTTCTGAAGATGAAAAGGACGAGGTAAAGGATAAATTTTACGACGAATTGACGGACCTGGTAGAGAGTATTGGAACTAGGAAGGAAGTAATTCTACTAGCTGACTTAAATGCTAGAACCGGAAGAAAAGTAAATAGCAAAGTGGTCGGTCCATTTGGAGAAGAAAAAATAAATAAAAACGGTGAAAGATTAATAAGTTTCTGCGATCATATGAATTTAAAGATAATGAATGGATATTATCAGCACAAGGATATTCATAAATTCACATGGATTCAGCCAACGAGGAATTTGAAATCAATAATCGATTACTGTATATGCAAAGAAAACTCCACAATAAAGGTTAATAACGTTAGAGTCCATCGAGGAGCAGAATGTGGATCTGATCACTATCTGCTTAAAGCGTCACTACTATTTACATTTAAAGGAAGCCAACGACAAAAAGAAAACGAAAGTTCAATGATACTGCAAGACATTTCAACAAAGAGATATAATCTACAAGGTTTTGAAAATGAGTCTACCCAGTTTCTGTATCGAATGAGGTTGAATCTGAAATTGCACGATGTTTGTTACTCCACACCAATTAATACGTACAACGAAATTATGAAAGCTCTTGACGAAGCTGCAATGGAAGCTATTGGAGAAGTGGATAGCATAAAAAATAGAAATGAATGATGGAATAAAGAAATAGAAGATCTTGTGGGGAAGAAGAAGAATATGTATAACAAATGGCTAGCAACAAAGGACCCTTACTATCGACAACAGTACAACAGCTTAAACAAAGAAGTAAAAAAAGAGGTAAGTAAAGCCAAAAATGAGATGTGGAATAAAGCCTGCGATAACGTAGAAAATTTTATGGGTACAGCAAGAAGTAAAGAAGCCTGGAAAACAATTAGAGGTAGTAGAACAGATAGAAAAGAATGCAGTAGGTTAACTCTAATAGCCCCAGAATTATGGGTCGAATATTATGAACAAATGCTGACAGAAGATCAAACAGAATTCCAAGATATTGGCTACCAAAAATATGATATTTCCTACCGCGAAGAAACTGAAATAACACCAGAAGAAATTAAAAAACACGCCAACGCTATGAAAAATGGAAAGGCTCCAGGACCGGGGAAGTACCCATTGAACTGATTAAATATGGCCCTGACAAACTATTTCAGCTATTGGCTTATACTTTTAATTTATTCTTGAGAGGAGAAGAGCTGCCCAGAATGGAAAACTGCATATATCAGCAATCTATACAAAAATAAAGGCGACAGAAAAGATTGTAAGAACTACCGAGGGCTTAGTGTAACTAACTCAATCTGTAGAGTCTACGGGAAGATAATTAAAAGCCGAATTGAAGATTGTTGGGAAGACGCTGAAGATCAGAGTGGCTTTCGTACTGGTCGTTCTTGTATAGACAATGTGTTCTGCCTAAAACAAACAATAGAAAAGCGTTTGGAACATAATATGGAGACACACATGGTATTTATTGATCTTCAAAAAGCGTATGACAGTGTCCTATTAGCCAAGCTATGACAGGTGCTAGAAGACAAGAATATTCCACCGATTTACATTAATGCTGTAAGGAAGTTGTACGATGATATGACGAGTGTAATAAAGATTGGCCAAAAAGTGACAAAAAAAAAGTGACCAAAGGACTTCGCCAAGGCTGCTGCATTGCACCTACACTCTTTAAGATTTATTTGGAGGGGGTTTTGGATATATGGAAAAAAAATGTAAAACTATGGGTGTTAAAATTGGAGACCATACACTGTACAGCTTGCATTTTGCTGATGACCAAGTAATATTTGCAGAAGATCAAGATGATATCCACTACATGTTACGAAAAATAGATGAAGAATATACTAAGTGGGGCTTATCAATTATTAATCCATCAAGTAGTGGGGGTGAAGGAAAGCACTTAGAACTAGGAAGCAAACAAATTCAAAATATCGAAAGCTATAAATATCTCGGTTAAAACATTACAAACAATGGTCGAAATACAAAAGAAATAGCTACTAGAATTGGTCAAGGACATTCAGCAATAAGTCAACTGAATAGTATACTTTGGAATAACCACATCACCCGAAACACAAAAATTAGGATATACAAAAGTATCATAGAAAGCATTGCTACATATGGTTCAGAGCTTTGGGTAATAAATAAAAATGACGCATCCAAAATAAAAGCAATGGAAATGAATTATTGGAGAAGATGTTGCCAACTCACTAGAAGAGATAGAGTAAGGAATACTGAAATCAGAGAGCGTATGGGCATAGACATTGACATCCTGGAAACTATAGAATGCAAAAGGCTGAAATGGTATGGCCATGTAGAAAGGATGAATGATCAACGATGGCCAAAGAGAATGTTACAGTGGATCCCCACCAACCGCAGGAAAAAGGGAAGACCAAGAAGATCGTGGAGACAAGAAGTAAAAGGTGCAATGGAAGATAGAGGTCTACAAGTAGATGACTGGAACGATCGCAAGTTGGAAGCTAGGTTGCGAGAAACGGCGGCAGCTGTAATAAACTCGTTTATATATATATATATATATATATAATATATATATATATATATATATATATATATATATATATATATATATATATATAAATTTTGTAATAATACCTTAGATTTTTATTTCTCTTACAACATATTCAGCTTATTTTGTATTATTTCCTTTTTTTTGTGTGTTTTTTTATTTATTTTTTCCTTTTTATATAATATATAAGGAACTTATATAAAATGGAAACAGTGAGTCGGCTTGAAATAATGGTAAAATCATCAAATAACAAACGATTTAAAAAGGTATGTTCAATTAATATAAAAGGGGATTCTAGTAACTAGCTTTAACAACACTTTAGCACATAAAAAGATTTATTAAATTAAATTTTAATATTTTTTTTGTTTTATTTTAGGGTAACCGTTCGACTGTCCTGACAAATTTTAAAGAAATGTACCAAGTACTTACTAAACCGAGAGAGAATAATACCAGAGCAATAATTATATTATCTGTAATAACTTTAATAATAGTTAATTTTGTCGGAAGTGGAGAATTTGGAGTAATGTATCTCTTTCTATTAAAGAAGCTACACTGGAACGTCACCAAATATACTCTCTATATTAGTGTTAACACTATAGTTTCTGTTACTGGAACCATGACAAGTATTTTTGTATTACACAAGAAAAAGGCAATGAAAGAATCCTTTTTGGCTATTATTGGTTTATCTGCTACTATAAGTTGTGTTTTATTGCGAGGCATTGCTTATCATGATATTTTTATATATGTAGGTATGTATATGTTATAATTATATATATATATATATATATATATATATATATATATTATATATATATATATATATATATATATATATTATAATTACAAGTAAGGTAAAACCCATAAGTTTCATGTTTTTCTTCTTTTTCCTCTGTATAGAAGATATCGATTTTTTACCGTTGAGTTGATACAAATTTTATTTAATATTGATTTTGCGCGCAGAACTGACATTTAAAATCGCAGGTCGCTTCAAGCATTGTTTCTGAGATAACAGTTAATTCTACGCAAAAAGTGCTAACATTTTTGTTACAAATTATCTCAGCTACATTTTTGATTTGAAATAATTTTTTCTACTGCATACAGATTCTTGTTAAATCGATTTTCTTGCGTTTTTACTCCCCTACAAGGAGGGTTCAGCGGGATGTCCGGGGTTAAAGTGGTAAACGTTTTTGCATCTTTTTTGGAGTCCGAAAATTAATATTCACGACAAAATGCTTGTTCGTATGATTTTTAGGGGCCAAATCTCTGACAACTGAACTAAATGCAGACAGCAACTAAACAATATTTAGACTGTCACCACGCTTTGACAAGGGCTCAAGGAATGAGGAGGAGGACTCAAAATGCGAATTAATCACAATTTCAATTAAAAATACGTTTACTTTGACGTTTCGATTTCCACTTTGAATCATTCTTGAAAAAAATATATTCTTTTTTCGAAAAAAAAAAAAAAATCAAGTGAAAATCAAATAATAGCATTCGAGCATTGCCATAAAGTACAATCAAGTTTGGTATATTAAATAATTAATTAATTAATAATTAAATCAATAATCGACTTTATAATCACCGACATAGTAATCACTCCAAAGCAAATACTAGACGTGAGAACTCTAATTTTAACCCACGTCGGGTGAGACCATAGTCTGTGTATATGTAGGTTGCTAATAGATCAGTCATGTAAAATTTATAAAACGCCTATTTATATAAACTCAACTTAAAATCAATATGACTGAATCAACAGTGAAAATTTTTTTACGGAGATTAAAAATTTATATAAAAAAAATTATAGACGAAATATCAGAGAAATAATAAAAATAATAAATTAATATCAATGCTAGCAACAGCATAAAACCATGGTTCTAAAAGGAAATATCAGTCAGCAGTCAAAAGGAAGTCATGTTTAGAGTACAAGAACATCTCAAAAATCATATAGAAAGTACCGCGAAATGGGGTGAGATTGATCAATTTGAACTATAGCTTTTTTTGTAATTTACACATTTTTGTATTTTTTTATCATAAAACACTTCACGTATTATATTAATGTCTAAAGGATGATGTTTTAACACTAGTTTTGTTATAATTGTTAAAAAAATCCACTTATCTTACAAAAAAGGTCAATCTTAGACCCATGAATGGGGTTGATTAATCATGATGATTTTATAATATGAAATTTTTCGAATTTTTACAATTGGTTGAAATTTATCTTGCGAAGTAAGAATGATCACACTATTTTAAGAACTAAAAATGTATTTCAGAACATTAAAAAAATTTGGATTCTTTATAACAATCGAACATTTCACCAGCAGGAAATTTCCATTCGTGATGTTTTCTAATGTAGGACAAAAGAATTCAACCTCCTTCCCATCTTTGTTAATATCAAGATCATTGTTGATATCATCTAATTCAAGATTTTCATTTGCATCATCGTCACTGGACTCTTCAGATGGTTTAGGTGCTGTAACACTTTGACTTGGTTGAGCCGGAATTGTACCTCAAATCTATCAAAAAGTTAGTAAGAGAGCATCTAAATACGACTTGATCAATAGCGTCTTTTGGTAGCTTTTCCAAAACTCGGTATTGGGGATGAATGGTACAATGCCACATGCTTTAAAATTAGAAAGTAAATTTCTTTAAATTTCTTTTTAAACAATTTTGTCTCCGTCTGGATATTTAGGTAATACTTTATTTATGCTTTCAATTGTTTGCTTTAACAGCGTAGGAAATTTAATTTTAGGAATGCTAGAAGTTTTAGAATTTTGCATTTTACATGATGTTAAAGTTTTCCTCCAGCTTTCTTTTATGATTCTGAAGAATGCCAGATCCAATGGCTAACAAATATTGGTAGAGTTGGATGGCAAGCATGCAAATATTATAACATTTTCTTTACATTGTCTCAGAACGTCTGGATTTAAATGCTAGGTCGTTCCCTATTAACACTTTTTTTCAATTAAGTCGCGTAGTATGTCGTAAGCAACAAGTGACAAACCAATCATTGAATGTTGACAAATATCAATCCAACCATGTGAGGTTCGATTATATCATGTTTCCAGTGAGCAACATGGTTGTTCGCAGTATGGACTACCCTTGGGACCATTTTCTGCCCAATAATCCCATAAATTTTCCGACTTGTATATGACGTAAGGTGGCAGAAGTGTATCTGAGGCGTATCCATAAATCATAACTTATGTAGCAGATTTTGAATGGTTGCTTATTTTTTCGGAATATTTAGTACCTCTTTGGTAGATACACAAATTTTTTCCGGGGCCATCTGAGACCTTGAACTTGTCAATTTAAATTTTTTTTAACGGAAACGTTTTCAATAGTTTGTTTTAAATTATAAAAGTATTTTTAATCAGGTCCCGAGATACTTTTGCTGAACTTTTTTTTATTAAAAATAGGTAAAAAGAAATAAATAAGACTTATAATCAGTTTAATTTTACTACCAAGACGACCGGTTTGGCTTTCTATAATTTGCAAATCATCTTCAGGTAAGTCGGTACAAAGTAAATTAAATGCTGAAATTATAAAAAGCCCATATTACGGTGCTGTCTTATAAAGATAAACATAAAATAAAATAATATAAAACTACAGTAATTATGGCAATATTACATGTCTGTTTTTTTAATATGAATAAATTGTTTAAGCAGAGAAAGAAAAACCCACAAATTGGTACAAAATAATCTATTGAATTGTAATAAATTAGTGAATAAACAACACATTACTTACATGCCGGTACAATAATTAATAATTAATGATTCGAAGAACATAGTTCAAACTATCCTGTAATTGCTGATGATGGGGATCTTCGGATTTACTGTTGTAACTGTTTGATAATTAGCGGGAAGTTTCTTGAGGAGATAGATATTACCAAATGAAGTAGGAATAAGGTATAATGTGATTGTTTGTTAAATTAAAGTGATGTTCTGTATTATTTAATTTATTAAAAATTATTTATATTTATTCAAGAGATATATTTTAGAAATGTGTGTTAATTTATAGAAATTTTTTATTAAGGTGATAGTTGTATGACAATGAATGAAATTAGATGTAAAATTGTGTGGGTGTGCAATTCTTTTAACTTGTAATTATTAAATTTCTTTGATAAAGTTGAATCTGATTACTGTTTTTGGCAGATAATTGGAATGCCAGATATGTTAAAAATTATTAAAACTAAAACAATTAAGGACACTTAGAGACAAACACAACACAATTAAAAGGACAAAACAGACATTAAATTTAAAATGGGGGCACTTATTGGCACTACGTCACTTAGTAGTAGATGAACTGGAAAAACTTAATTTTTTGTTGTCTATTAGACTTTTAGAGGTAAATTTTGACAAGCTAATGTAGGTTAAAGTGTAACAGTTCTTCGTCTATTTCTTAGTATTGTAACTAAAGTTAACCAGTTTTTTTTAAGTAAATGAAAATTTTTAAACATTTAAATGGAAACTGTGAGTTAATATGTATAATAATAGCATACTTTTAACAGTCATTAAATGAATTAAATTTAAATGTAATAATTAGAATAATTGAAATAATTTCCTAAATATTTTTATTTTTACATATATTTTTTATTTTTATTTTTTTATTAGTTGCTTATCTTTTACTAGCAAGACCTCCATGCCTCTGTAACACGCTATATATACAGTCAATTCTAGGGATATTCTCCTTAAATCTAGATACACTTCTACCACATTTGTCCAGAAAACTATTGCTGCTATTGAAAATTACTGCAATATTTTTTGCAATTGCAAAAAATCAAACGGATTACGCTTGGAGGACCAGAAAGCTGCGTCATCTTTACTGAAACAAGAATTTTCTTTGATTTTCCATCTCCATTCAGTCTTATTTAAAACTCCGTACAACCAATTCTGTACTTGCTAATCTCTTTTTAGATGATGTGTGAATGCATCTACTGTTGGTAAAATTTTACCTATAGATACTTTTTTTATGTTTGACAATATCCATTTGATACATTATATACTTACCTATATTTTTCAGTCAACTTAATATTTGTTAGTAACGTTTGTTAGTTTGACATTCATCAGATATATTTGGCTTCATATAATTAGGTGAAATATGATACATGGCTAAAAGTATTAAAGTGACCTTTGAAAACCACGTAGTAATAACTTTCGACTGGTTTTGAATGAAAATCATAGAAAACTCCAGGAGGCGAGGTCTACACTTGGTACCAGGTACTCGAGGACCATTCTCAGCATGATATTTGTCTTTGGTGACCTCGATAACTCACCGAGTAGCAAAATTGAACTCATTCCCGTTGATATTTTCCGAGC